AAATTTGGTCATGTACTGCTGTGTTGCAATTTAGATGAATTTCAAATTTTTAATGGAAAACCAAAAATTCGTTTTCCACAGGGAAAATGCAGGTGAATTATGTCAGCCGTCCAATCTGATTTGATAGCAAGTTGATATCAGCACCGTGTTTTTCTCGTGGATCCAATGGATGTTGGGTGAGGCATCACCCTGATCGTCCCGTACGGAATTGCTCGTGGCGTTGGAGTGCCATTCCGATAGTCGCACAGCCAAGTGTTGGGGCCAGATGGACGTGGAATTCTGTGTAATTCTGGGTGAAGTATAGGGCTATTTTGGTCATTTGAGTATATGGTTTGCCATAGCCATTGGGTGTGCGATGAGGTTCATGAAAGTCTAAAGCTAACTAATTAAAGAGACCCGTCAAATGGTGTGTTGGTATAATTGTTCAACGGCTCTGATTGTTGAATGTGCGCCGTTGCTTAGTCAAAGCACCAAACAAGGCCAAGGCCACTGTGGCCAGCTATGGGCTTTCATGCAGCTTATTCATCAAGGCCATTTCGGGCCTTTCTAGTTCTAGGCTTTGTTCTGGTCTTTTGGGCTACAGGCCCCCAATGTATCAACAAGAAAAAACATCAATGGAACAATAGCGCCAGTCTTTTTATTCTTCAACCATCGATAATCTAATATGCGGAAATGAGGATTTGAACCTGGGTACAAGAAAGCGGGCAGATGGGCTCACTGTCATGACCACCTGTGTTAACCCACAACTGCATAATAGCTAATCACACATTTTTTCCACTTAAAAAAGAGGGGGATTTATACGTATTGGTAGGTAGACTATGAGTTATGACCTAACAGCCAAAATAATTGGTGATTGCAAACCCAGTATGAGTAGACTTGGATTGGATTGGATTGGATTGGATAGGATAGGCTAATGCAATAATCCTTTAGATAAAGTTGGATAAATGCATAGTTTCCTCTTTCCATTTTAAGATCTTAATCACAAATAATATTTAAAATCTTGAATTAAGAGTTTAAGAGCAGATCTTTAAACCAGGTAATTAATTTTGATAAGAGAAAAGGTAGAAAACAATCATTTTCTAAAAATACAAGCTTTTCATTTACAAGCAACAAGGCTTTGCATCGTCAAAGCATACACATGTATTTTAAAGATGAAGAATGCCATAGCAAAAACATCAAAAAGAAAAAGAAAAAGAAAAATACATCATCATCTTTGCAACCCATGCAACACTGTGGTTGGAGATAACATAGCTAGCTCAGGAGGGATAGAAGGGGGAGAAGAAGATCCACGAACCCAAGATGGGGTGTTTGCATATTGAGCTATCTTGACCTGTACTTTTGCACTGTCGGGCTTGCAAGGTCAAGAAAACTCGAACATTCTTCGTGGAGTTAAAAAAATCAAAAAAATAAACATAACAAGAATAAGCTCAGAAGAGATATCGCCATGACTTCTACCAGCACATCTTTCTCTTTTCTTCCCCTATGCAACAAACCACTTGACCTACTGGGTGAGCCACGAGACCCATGAACATCAACAGAGCCATGGCTGAGACCAAGAGAAAGTGAGTGAGAACCAGAGAGCTTGGAGAAGATGAAGGAGGGGCATGTAGGTATTATTAGGGTTGACCACCAGTACAAGACTGGTGAAACAGTGCCATGAAGATAGAGAAGGGGATGGGATATATGATGCTATTTATATTGAGGGAGTGGTCACAGAATGAAATAAAGGCTGATGGGTATAATTGGCTCTTTAATGGAAAAATAAGGTGATGTGTCGTTTTCAAGCTAGGGCAGACACTAGGCATAATGAGAATTTGTTCTCTTGGGATTCAAAAACCGACTCTATTTCCGGATTAAGACTTCTTTTTTGTGCTTTTGTTCTTGTTTTTTCAAACAGTAAGTTCCCTTCTGCTTTTTTAGAATTCTACTACTGCCATATCCTGTACTAAACTTTTTACAACTGATAAAAGTATGTTTATTATATTCAACTTTAGATGAGAGATTGAAAAATTTTATGTTTTTTTTAAAGAAATCTGACCTAATTACTGGTTCACAAATTTAATCCAATGTGAGATGAGAAGTGGTGCATTTATTTTGCTTGCAACTTATACCATACATCTGTGTATCAGAAAAAATTGCATTACATGCATGCAAAGGTAGCTTTGACCATTTCGATAAGTAAGAACAAAAAACAAGAAAAAAGAACAGAGTGGGTTTTGACCATTGAATTTCTCACCAGATGTAATCTTTTTCAAGCAAATCTCTGCCTTGCAATTCAAAACCACTCATCTCTCTCTCTCTCTCTCTCTCTCTCTCTCTCTCTCTCTGCTGATACAGATGGAGAAAGATCAAGAACAAAGCCCTAGGAGTTTAGCTACAGATGGGTCTCTTCAGCAAACCGCTACTTTATTCACTGTTCCTTTTGTCCCTCTCTCTGCAACCTTTCCAAAATCACACAAAACCAAAACCCCCCAAACCCTAATTCTCATGTCTTATGTAATAATTATACCCTTTGCTGCTGCTGCTGCAATTCTCTCAGAATTGGGACCTGCACTATTGTAAAGTCAATCTCAGATATTATGGCCTCCTATATTAATGGCCTTTTGAACTTTTTGTTTGTCACCTTATATGTAAAATTTTCAAACCAAAATCAAACCTTGAAAGCCTTTTTAATTTGTTCTGCTAAAGAAAAAGTAAAATCCTTTTTCTTTTTTTTTCTTTTTTTAAAGAAAAAATTATTATAAAGGAGATCTGTATCCGATATAATGACTATACAAATTAAAGTTAACTTTATAACTAATATTCACAGGAAGATGAAAGAAATTAAATACAAGTATTATCAATAAATTATCCCTTTTTAGTCAAAAAAATCTGCTACCATATTAATTTCTCGAAAAACATGTTGAAAAGAGACATGAGAAAAAGTAAGATCATTGGCATAAACCAATGTTTCTTTATTTTGTTTTGGTAATTAAAGTAGGGTATTGGCCAAATTGAAAGCCCGTAAGTGGCCTGGTGACGTGTCTCTGGCCATTCCTGGGGTACAATATAAGCTCAGACTCTGCTGCAAGCATTAATTTCACATACTCGAGTGCTCCATCCAACTAACCCAACTTGTATGTCTGATTCAAAACCCGTGAAGGCTACTCTCAGATCATCATGAGCCCTTTACGTCACACTGTGTCATTTGCATTGCTGTGGGGACCTATCTTCATATATGTACATAAATCACGTTGTTTTGGGGTTCCATCTGCTTCTGTTATCCTTTTGATTTATATACTCTATACAGTATGTTATTTAATAACTTTATACAGTATTACAATACTAATGGTATTTGAGAGCTACAGCTTCACTTTATTATTGATTAAAAACTATAGAGATTCTAGGTGCATGGTCTGTGAGTAATTTGATGCATGTGAAGAGGAAAGAAAAGTTGCCAATGGGTCTAGCTTGGGCCTTGATTTGTTCAAGGGGGGGGGGTTTGGGTGGGGGGGGGGGGGTTCAATGAGGGGTTCAATCCAACCATTCAATCATTAAAAAAGTTCGAGTCCACTATTTTCTATCTCTTGTTGGATAGTGGGATTGAAACCCCCTCCCACAACCTCCTCAACCACAACCCCCTCATTATAGCATTTTTCGTTCGGCCTTCCATGACTCATTGATAGTGTGTGTGAAAAAACTTCACCTCCTCCCCAATATCACTTTGTATTAAAAAATATATAAAATAAAAAATAAAAGTTAACATTAATCACAACAGCAAACAAGTTT